GTTTGTTGTGTACATTAATGACTTGGATGGGAATGTAGAAGGTATAATTAGTAAACACAAAAATTGCTGGTGTTGTTGATAGAGAGGAGGATGGTCGCAGCCTACAGCCTGATATTAATCAGCCAGTGAATTAGGCAGAGAAATAACAGATGGAATTTAATCTTGAGAAGTGTGAGGTTGTACAGTTTGGGAGGTTTGATAAAGGAAGAATATACACAATGAATGGTAGGTCCCTAGGGAGTACTGAAGAACAGAGTGATCTTGGTGTACAAGGCCATAGATCTCTGATGACGTCAGCACAGATAGATTTGGTGGTGAAGAAGGAATATAGGATGCTTGCCTTCATTATCTGGGATGTATAATATAGGAGCAAGGAAGTCTTGTTGCAACTTGATAAAACATTGCTTAGGCCATAGATAGACGATTGTGTGCAGTTCTGGTTGCCCACTATCAGAAGGATGTGATTGCAGGAGAGAAGAGATTCACCAGGAGGTTGCCTGGAATGGAAAATCTCAGTTATGAGGAAAGACTGGATAGGCTGGGTTTGTTTTTCCTGGAGTAGTGGAGGCTGAGGGGGGATCTGTTTGAGATTTGCAAAATTAAAAGAGGCATAGAAGGGATGATTGTGAGAATCTTTTCCCATGGCAAATGCGCCTAGGATTAGAGGGTATAAGTTTAAGGTGAGGAGTAAGTGAAATAGAGAGGATCGGAGGATTTTCTTTTCAGCCAGAGGTGATAGAAATATGGAGCATGCTGCCAGATAGGATGATGGAAGTAGGTACTCTTGCAACATTTAAGAAGCGTCTGGACAATCATTTAAAATACCACGGCATAATTGGCTATGGACATTTGCAGTTAAATAGGGTTAGTGTAGGTTGGTGTTTGTTGGTCAGCATAGACATGGTGAGCTGAAGGGCCTGTGCTTTATGACTCAAAAACTCTATGACTAAGAATGTGTGGTGATGTCATTGAAACACACAAGACTTATAGGGGACTTGACAGGCTAGATGCAGAAATGTTGAATTCCCTTGTGAGATAGTCTCCTACCAGAAGACAAAAATCTATGAATATGGATCGCAGATTTAAGATAGAGATGAGGAAGAAGTTCTTCTCTTAGAGGTTCATAAATCTGTGTAATTTTTTCCCACAGAGGACTGTCAACGCTGAGTCATTAAATATTTTCAAGGCTAAGTGGGAGAGATTTTTAATCACTAAGGGGATCAAGGGTTATGGGAAAAAGGCAGGAAAGTGGAGTTAAGGACTATCAATTAGCCTCAATCCTATTGAATGGTGGAGAAGACTTGGTGGGCTGAATGGCCTACTTTTGCTCCTGTATCTTACATGAACAAAGAGCAAGAGTAGACCACGCAGCCCTTTGAGCCTGCTCTACAATTTGATAAGATCATGAATTACCTGACTTTAACCTTAACTCTGCATTCCTGCATATTCCAAAAATCTTTCATCCCCCTTGGTAATCAAGAATCCATCTACCTTTGCCTTAAAAATATTTAAAGATTCTCCATCCGCTGTGTTTTAAGGATAAAAATTCCAAGGACTCACAATCCTCTGAGAGAAAAAAGTTTCCTCATCTCTGTTTTAAACTATGACTTCTCATTTTAGATTACCCCACAAGAGGAAACATTATTTTCAACATCCACCTGGTCAAGCCCCCTCAGGATTTCATATGTTTTGATTATATCACCTCTGACTCTTCTCAACTCTGGAGAATACAAGCTTAGTTTTTTTAGCCTTTTCATGTTCCAGCTCATTCTAGGCATTAGTCTGGTGGTCTTATAGTGTCCACAAGTCAGCCTGGAACTGAGCTGCTGGTGTCACTGCACTACTCCAAGTGTTTAATAGCCTCCACCTCCTCCCAGATTAAGAATACTGGGTAGGGGGCAATCCTCTATAAAAGAGATGGGATTGAGAGGTGGGGAAATTGCCCATGTCCCAGTTACTGTCCTCTTCACAAAAACACTCTGGCCTATATTTCTATTATTGACTCTTGCCTCTTTCCTCTTCTCTGACCCACCCAACCCCAGTCCCAAGCAAAGGGGAAACCCATAAAACTGACAAGTCATATGTACCTGTCTGACTTGTACATTTCAAAAGGAAGGTTCAATCTGACCGTTGCTTCATTTCCAAGTATTACTGGGTTCTTTACTGGTTTTTCCCTCTGGGAAATTGCGGGATCCTCTGCTGCAATCCTTGGGATTCCAGCCGCAAATTGTGAAGTTCCCACCCTCAACCTCACCACCACTCCAAAGCTTGGGGCCCCACCCACAAATTTTGGGGTCTTTGTTCCTGTAAATTTCAGCCCACCCATCCACCCACTAGAGAATTCCAGCCATGCCATTTTCTTTGCAATCCTCCTTGAATTAGTCTTCCTGTGTACAGATCCCCCATTTCATTATATCCCTTGTTATCAGATTTGTTTAATTACCCTCCCTAAGAACAAGCCATTCCAAATTTCCTTCTTGCTGGTGAACAGATTTTATGGAACCCGCACATCAGAAAACGTGACATGAGGGGTGACTGAAATAGGCGGCATGTGAAATTTTGATTACTCGATGGCAGTTTCAAATCTATGATAATATCAGCAATGCCAACTATCAACATCCTGGGGGTTGCTATTGACCAGAAACTAAACTGGAATAGCCAAATAAATACAGTGGCTACAAGAGTAGACCAGAGACTAGGAATACTTCAGCAAGTAACCCACCTCCTGACTCCCCAATGCTTGTCCATCATCTACAAGGCAAAGTCAGGAGTGTGATGAAATACTCCTCACTTGCTGGATAAGTGTAGCTCCAACAACATTCAAGAAGCTTGACACTATCTAGGACAAAGTAGCCCACTTGACTGGCACCAGATCCACAAGTGTCCACTCCCTCCACCGACATTCAGTAGCAGCAGTGCATCTTGCAGAAATTCACCGAGTGCTCCTTAGACAGCACCTTACAAAACTACAACCACTTCCGTCTAGAAGGATAAGAGCAGCAGATATACAGGAATGTGATCACCTGTAAGTTCCCCTCCAAGCCACTCACCATTCTGACTTGGAAATATATCACCATTCCTTGTTCCAGCAACTTCTGTTTTAGTTCCAGATTTACAGTATCCGCAGTTCTTTCAGTTTTTATTCACCTTCACTGTCATTGTGTAAAAGTCCCGGAATTCTTCTCCAACCAGCACTGTGGGTCTACCTACGTTACATGAACTGCAGCAGTTGAAGAAGGCAGCTCACCACCACTTTCTGAAGGGCAACCAGCAACAAGCAATAATTGCCAAGTGACGCCCAAGTCCCACGAGCAAATTTAAAACAAACCCTTTTGCAGCCTATCAGGCCACTAGCAATTTCAAACTTTTATAACATTTGCATGTTATAAAGACTTGTTAACATAAAACTTATTTTTTTAAATAAAGCCCCACCTTTAACATTAAGTCAGATGTGCACAAGGATCTCTGACTCCCCAACCTTGTGCCACAGAGTTCAATAAAGTGAACTGCTGACCGCAGAGCCAACCTTTAACTGACTGTGAATCAGGTGCCAAAAGACTTCTGTGTACTACTAGCTTTATCTTGAAGATAGGACTTCACTTTAAAAGAAGTGTTACCTTAATTTATGGTATGCAAATACACCACAAGTATGAACATGTCACACGGCAACATAAAGTTTGGCACAGCATAAACATGTCATGGATTAAATTTCTGTATCTCAATCTACCAAGCATAAATCAAGATTTTGCATCCTGTCTAACTCAGTCAGCCTGTATGCCACATTTGCCTCTCTTGCAGGCCCCATAAGATGCCCCTCCCTATCTAATTCCCCCCTCAATGAGCAGCTCCCTCTATAATTCCTTCCATTTTCTTCAATACATTCACATTTTTCCTGTAATGTGACACCCACAACTGCACACAATAATCCAGTCTTATACAAGTTCAACACCACAACCTTGCTCTTTTAAACCACCCTGAAATCCCCCTGTACAGTTCCTCCAGCCAGTGAAGATCTTTCCTGATCATTAAATGCCTGTCATTCCAGTTTTTAAATTCTGTCTAGAGAAGCAACTGTAACTCTATCAAATGGTTCCCACACTATCGTGAGCACAAAATGTTTCCACACTGGCTGTTTGTGTAATTCATGTCCAGCCAAATGGCATGGCAAATATAGATACACAGAGGCTGACTGGCTCTCTAAACTTTCTAGATCAGAGAATGCCTACAGTGCTGAAGCAGGCCATTCAGCACTTCAAGTCCACACTGCACTTCGAAGAGCATCCCACCCAGACCCTCCCCTTCCCTGTAACCTCACATTTCCCAATACTAGCATGCATTCCCTGGACACTACGGGCAACTTTGCATGACCAATCTGCCTAACCTGCACATCTTTGGACTGTGGGAGGAAACTGCAGCACACAGAGGAAACCCATGCAGTTATTGGGAGACTGTGCAAACTCCACTCAGGCAGATATCTGAGGATGGAATCAAACCTGGGTGCCTGGAGCTGTGAGGAGCTGTGCTACCCACTGAACCACCATGCCACTCCTATGCACAGAATGATCCCTGGTTCAGACATATCTTCACTGCAGAAAGGCATTTGATCTACTCCCCATCTCCCATCAATACACAGTGAATGAATATCCAAGTTTACCAGGGAGGGTTGGTGTAGACAACTATTTTAAAGACAGGACAAGTTGAGAAAGATATTTTAAAAAGCTTCTAGTATGCTTGACTGACTTTACCAAAACAAATAATTATATTGCTCAGTTATAAATTTCTAGTTAAATTTCCTGCACCTGGAAAGATATTGTCAAGGTGAGAATGCCGCTGTCATGAGAATTCCATGAGGAAGAGACCGCCCATGTTTTGAGTGTGTGCTATCTGAAAGCTATGCAGCACCGCCTTTTTTCAAATCATTGTCAACTGCGTCAGCAAATTTGCAAATACCTTTAGCACTCCTACAAATATTCTCACATTACAGAAAGTAATGATAATCATCATCAGCATCTGCTCTTTGCAGATCTCAAGTGAAAGCTTCACAAACTAAAATGTCCAACTTCAATTGCAATGGTAAGAAAATGCTTTAAGTCCAATTCAGCTAATATTTTATTTTATTACATGTGGTTAGTAAGTTGATTTACTGTCATTATGATGAAAACTAATTCTTTCTCAAGCTAACTTTGATAACTGTAAGTTCCTTAATCTGGTATCAAAGTCGCTACTTTCATTCACTCTTGCGCCTCCCACAAACTTAAACTGCTCCTTCCCCTTTTAGACAATTCAAATACAATTATTCTTCATCATTCATTTGGAGGTAGACATCATGAAATCATTCAGAAAATTAGAAATGTGACAAATTTTACTATCATTCTAAATGGATGGATAAAGACGCACCGAAATTATCTTGTGATCTTTTGCTTTTACTTTGTTGTCCTTCATAAAAGGCACTGCGTCCCATCCCACTATCCACAGTACTCACCTTACATTTTATTATCCTACTGCTATACTGTGTTCCCTTACTCTTTATTATCTCACCCAACCTCATTCCTCTACCCTGCTGCCTTCTCTTACCCTTTAGTATCCCAAACAGTTTAATTTCCCTTTCTTGCTCAATTCTTAGACCATTCAATAATTCTGATTTTCAGGTAATGACTTAATTTTCTTTAGAATGAAGTCTTGATTCTGCTTTAACAATGACATTTATTTAGAAATACGCAGATTATCAGTGAGATTTCTAACTCTGATAATGACATTAGAATGACACATGCAGCACAATGGAGCATTGGTCAATAGAAACTTGATAAGACTAGGAACTAATGTGGGCATAGAACTGGGCTCACCCTAAGTCCAGCCTAAATGGTCTGGAGATGTGTGGAAAGAGATCGGGTGGAAACATTTTCCAGCCCATCACAGAACTGAAGGAACGAAGAAATGGATAATTCAGTTCTAAGGGCCCTGCTGAGCTGGTAGCTGAAGTCAGCTTAATGCTCAATGAATTACTCTTTTCACTGCATTCATTTTCTCAGCCCATAGGAACATAGGAACAGGAATAGGCCATTCAGCCCCTCAACCCTGTTCTGCCATCCAAAGAGATTGTTGCTGATCTGTGGCCTAACTCAATATACCTACCTTTGCTCCATATCCCTTATATTTGTGCTTATGGGAAACATATCTATATCAGAGTTAAAATTAACAACTTATCCAGCATCGATTGCTGTTTGCGAAAGAGAGTTCCAAACATCTACCACCCTTTGTGTGTAGAAATACTTCCTAACAATCTTTCCTGAACAGTCTGGCCCTAATTCTCAGACTATGCCCCCTAGCTCTAGAATCCTCAACCAGTACAAATAACAAAGAACAATACAGCACAGGAACAGGCCCTTTGGCCCTCCAAGCCTGCACCAACATATTTTGTCTGTGCATACTAAAACTGTCTTCGCTTACAGGATCCGTATCTCTCTATTCCTTTCTTACTCATGCATTCATCCAGGTGTTTCTAGAATGCTGCTATTGTGTCTGCTTCCATCAATCTCCTCTGGCAGCATGTTCTGGGCACTCACCACCCTTTGTGTGGAAAACTTGCCTCGCACATCTCTCTCAAACATCTCCCCCAACACCTTGAAGCTGTGTCCCCTAGTAATTGAACTCTCCACCTTGGGAAAAAGCCTTGTTCTTTCCAGTCTATCCATGCCATTCACAATCCTATGCCCCTCAACCTCCTGCATTCTAGTGAAAGCAAACAGAGTCTATTCAAGAGACAGTAAGAACTGCCGATGCTGGAGTCAGAGATAACAGTCTATCCAACCTTTCTTCATAGCTAAAATCCTCCATATTAGGCAACATCCTGGTAAACCTTTTCTGTACCTTCTCCAAAGCATCCACATCCTTCTGGTAGTGTGTTGACCAGAATTGTACACAATATTCCAAGTGCAGACTGATTAAAGCTCTACAAAGCTGCAGCATAACTTTGCCTATCCTTACACTCAATGCCCCTTCCAATGAAGGAAAGCATGCCATACACCTTTTTTACTACATTATCTACCTCCGCTGCTACCTTCCGTCTTCTATGGACCTGCAAACCCAGATTCCTCTGCATATTAATACTGTTAAGGGTTTTACCATTCACTCTGTAATTTCCACCTGTAGTTGATCTTCCAAAATGCAACACCTCACATTTGTCCAGATTAAACTCCATCTACATTTTTCGGCCCATGCCTCCAACTGACCTGCTGTATCCTCTGACAATCCTCCTCACTATCTGCAACTCCACCAATCTTTGTATGATCCGCAAACTTACTAATTAGACCAGTTACGTTTCCTCCAAATCATTTATGTAGAAATAGTTTATCTTTATCTACCCTGTCTTTTCCTTTTAATATCTTGATGACTTTGATCAGATCACCCTTTAACCTTCTAAATTCTAGAGAAATTAGAACTAATTTCTATAACCTCACCTCATAACTTAATCCCTAAAGTCCAGGTGTCATTCTTGTAAACCTACATCGTATTCCCTCCAAAGTTAATATATCCTTCCTATTCAAAATCCTATGCCCCTCAACCTCCTGCATTCCAGTGAAAGCAAACACAATCTATTCAAGAGACAGTAAGAACTGCCGATGCTAGAGTCAGAGATAACAGTCTATCTAACCTTTCTTCATAGCTAAAATCCTCCATACTAGGCAACACCCTGGTAAATCTTCTCTGTACCTTCTCCAAAGCATTCTTCTTCCTAAGCAATACCTTCTTCCTAAGGCCTGGTGCTCAGATCTGCTCACTGTACTCCACCTAGGGTCTAACCAGGGTTTTGTACAACTGCAACATAACTTCTGCATCATTTTACTCCAGTCCTCTAGACATAAAAGTCAGAATTCCGTTAGCTTTCTTGATTATTGTCTGCATCTGCTTGTGATATTTTAAAGATCGGTGTGCATGAACCTCCAAGTCTCTCTGGACATCCACTGTATTTAGCTTTATACCATTTAGAAGTACCCTGATCTATTCCTTTATGGTCCAAAATGGATAACCTCAGACTTGATTACATTGAACTCCATCTGCCAGTTCTGCCATTTCACTTAGTCTGTCAATACCCCTTTGAAATCTTATGCTATCATCTATAATGCCTATGATGCCACTCAATTTTGAGGCACTAGCATATTTGGATGTATGATTTTCCATGCCATTATCCAAGTCATGAATAAATAATGTTAATAATTGAGGCTCTAACACAGATACTTCTGGAATATCACTGGTCACAACCTGTCAATTTGAATACTTACCCATCGTCCCTACTTTCTGTCACCTGCGACTCAACCAATTTTCCAGCCATGTCAGTAATCTGCCCTCCACAGGCTTCTTCCTCAGTTAATAATCTCTTATACGGGACTTTATCAAATGCTTTCTGGCAGTTCATATAAACAACATCCATAGATATTCCCCTATCAACTACTTTTGTCACCTCTTCAAAAAATTCAAGGGGATTTTTCAGGCATGATCTACCTATCATGAATCCATCCTGATTAACTGAAAATTTTCAAGGTGTTCGGTTACCCTATCCTGGATCATAGATTCCATCAATTTCCCAACACAGATTTTAAGCTAACTGGTCTGAAATTGCCTGGTTTTCCTCTTTCACCCTCAAAAAGTGGTGACATTTGCAATTTTCCAGTCCAGAGAGATTACTCCTGTATCTAGGGAACTTTGAAAAATTACATTTTAGGTGTCTACAATTTGCTCCATGACTTCCTTTAATACCCTTGGATCGAAACCATAGGTCCAGGGAATTGTCACTTTTTAATGCCATGAATTTCCATATTATTGATATTTTACTTACATTTTATTCAGACTCTGTCCCCAATCTACTATTAATTTATTTAGACCTTCTGGCAAGCTGTCCTCCTTTTCTGCTATAAATACTGAGGCAAAGTAAATATTCAACATGTCTGCGATTTCCCCATAGTCATTGACAACATCCCCACTTTCAGTCTTCAGTGGGCAACATTGTTCCTGACCACTTGCTTTCCCTTTATATAACTGTAAAATTTCTTCTTCAGGTCAAACTGAATTTGAAGTTTATGCAAGCTGTCTTGGGAAGGCCCTGTGCTATATTCCCACCCCAACAACAGTAGGCTTATATGCACCCTGGGGATCTGGAATCAACCAGCTTCTACACAATGTACAAAGTAAGTTCGCTGCTTTGACATTTTCACCTAAAACAGCGTGACTAAACAGCTTGTCAATTCCCTTTCCTTAGGCTTCTGATAGCAAATCCAGTCTGTTTGTTTAATAAGATAATCATTTATTCTGGTCCTTACTGAAACAAGGAATAAGATATTCTGAGATGCCTGAATAATGTTTTATATTTGTCCAAGCAACAGTACAACTGATCATATGAGACTGATACTGCAAGTAAACTGTGCTGTGGACTCATTGAGCGTCCCTCTTAATGGAACTCATGCAGTTAGTGTTTTAATGATGAGCTTTTGATCATGATAGAAACCTACATGAATCACGTGTGAGGGGGCAATGGCCTAGTAGTATTATTGCTAGACTATTAATTTTGAGGCTCAGCTAATGTTCTGGGGACCTGAATTCAAATCCCACCATAGCAAATGGTGGAATTTGAATTCAATAAAGAATCTGGAATTAAGGGTCTAATGACGACCATATATCCATTGTTGATTGTCAGGAAAAGCTCATCTGGTTCACAAACAACTTTAGGGAAGGCAATCTGTCAACCTTACCTGGTTTGGCCTACATGTGACTCCAGACCCGCAGCAATGACTCTTAATTGCCCTCTGGCAATAAATGCTGGCCTAGCTAGAGATGGCCACATCCCATGAATGAATAAATAATCATATTAATGTTATAAAACATTTTTTTATGGCATTACACTGAATGGTGTCAAATAAATCTGATCTGTTCAATCTTGTCACAAAGACTCATTCATGTTTATCAAACCTGAGGGAGGGGAAATTGGTTTGTGTTGTGCCACATTTAGCAGAATTATACTGATTCCCCTGGATCAAGCAACACCATATGGGGCTCTCACAACATTCTCTGTTGATACAATACAAAATAAATTGTGCTGTCTTCACGGCTAACTACCTGCAGCACTGTTGGTCTCTGGAGAATCGATGTGGTCATCGTATGTGAACAATGTTCTCTCCTGAATTTCAATGGGTAGGCTTCTGGGATTCTTCCGGTAAGATGACGGTGGAATAGGACTCTCCAGCTGGAGCTCGTCTGCTCCATTTGTTCTTTTTCTTCTTTTTTCCTCCCTCTCTCCTCCTTTCTCTTGGCCTCGGACACGAGGTCTCCAAAGCAGGACGTGTTTTCGGCAGCCCAAAGCAGGGACACCAACAACCAGCGGCCAGAGCGGGGGCGCCAGCGGACAGAGCAGGGATTCCAGCTGCTGGGGTGGGGACGCCAGCTACCAGCAGCTCAGTGCGGAGTGCGGTGGCAGCCAGCGGTCAGACCACATGGAGGCACCTCCCTGGCATGGTCTGCCGTGGAGACACCTTGGAGAGAGACTGTGATTTTTTTTTAACTCTTGTTTCTCTGACCTATGGTTATACTGTACACCTGTAATTTCACTTCTTTTTCATTTCTCTATTCTGTGACTAGGGATTGTACCTAGGTCCTCCGTACCTAAGAGGGTGCTAAAAGTGGCAACTTACAAACTTTTCACTGTACTTATTTGAGTATATGTGACAATAAAGCTAATTCAATTCAATTCAATTGATGACTTCAACAGTATTCTGAACTTTAAGACAAACATGTCCCATTTCTATACTATTCACCCACTGAGGTTACCAGTTGTGTTGAGATAATGTTGCTGGACTAGTGAATCATGAATGAAAGCTAATGTTCCGGGGTCACAGATTCAAAGATCACATGGGAGTTATTTGGAATTTAAAGTTAATTAATAGGCTAATCTCGGTAATGGTGATTTTGAAGCTACTCCCGGTGTCAGGAAAAAAACCTATTTGGTTCACCACTGCAACCCTGCAATACTGACTTGGTCTGGCCATGTGTGACCCACAGTAATATGATGAATCTTAACTGCCGTTTGAAATAGCCCTAATGCCAATTAGGGAGCGGTATCAAATGCTAACCTTGCCTATAATGGCCACTCCCAGTTACATTGTGCTCCATTCATTTGTAGGTGGCCTCGTGCTCTGGGGCCTGCAGGCACGGACTGCTACGTAAATACTTACGGTCACTTATTATCATTCTGGACCTTTTCACTGTTTCATGCAAGTCTATATTCTTTTTTTACTCTGTAACAACACTATATTGTTCTACTCTGTAAGGTTTGTACTGAGGTACTTGTATCTAAGTTGCACCTTTAAAGGCAGCCATGTAAAAACTTTTCACTGTACTCCTACCCTTTGTATTGAAGTACATGTGACAAGAAAGAATATTCTGTTCTATGTCCTATTTTATTCTATTCTATTCTATTCATACCCTGCTTCTGATCTTTCATCCTTGATTTATTCTAAAGCTATGCTTTATGTTCTTGAAATGTGTGGGCCAAGAGATCTTTCATGTTTTTCTATGTGGATGACCAGATTTTCAAAAGCCAAAACCATAAAAAGGTTGTTGGGTGATTAATGGCAGGAATCTGGGACGGGTGGACTTTGACATTTCCTGGAATATGTCCAGTCAGACTTGGGAACCCAATCCATCAGTTGTTTAAAACAAGTCATCAGCATTGGAGCTTTTGGCACCAAAAAGGTAGTATCAACTCTCTTGGAGATATCAAGAGGGTAATGGGAAGAGGTACCATTCCCTACATGAAATGCAATGTGATGACTGTTTACAGGAAGAAAGACGAAATATCACACAGATTGTTTTCCCCCAGGCCTAGCTTGTATTTGACAAAATGGGAAAAGATGAAAACCAGGAAATTTGAACTACTTTTAGGAAATTGTCAGGGCACCGAGGCATTTAATGAAATACTGGGATTTTGGCACAAAGATAAGTGGAGGAACAGATAGTGTTGAGGAGGCAGGGAGGCTGCGGAAGGGCTTGAAGAGGCTAGGAGAATCGTCAAAAATGTGGCTGGCGGACCACATGTTGGAAAGTGTGAGGTTCTGCACTTTGCTCACTAAGAATAGAGGCTTAGATTATTTTCTAAATTGGGAAAGGCTTTGGAAATCTGAAGCACAAAGGGACTTAGGAGTCCTCAGTCAAGATTCTCTTAAGGTTAACATACGGTTCAGTTGGCAGTTAGGGAGGCAAATGCAATGTTAGCATTCATTTTAAGAGGACGAGAATACAAGAGTAGAGATGTAACGCTAAGACTGTATAAGCTTTAGTCAGACTGCATTCGGAATATTGTGTGCACTTTTGGGCTCCGTATCTAAGGAAGGATGTGCTGGCATTGGAGATGATCTAGGGGAGGTTTATAAGAATAATCCCAGAGATGCAGGATTTATATACTTAATGGTAAAGTCCTGGGAAGTGTAGCTGAACAAAGAGACCTTGGAATGCAGGTTCACAAGTCCTTGAAATTAGAGTCACATGTAGATAGGATAGTGAAGAAAGCTTTTGGTATACTTGCCTTTGTTGGTCAATGCATTGAGTATAGGAGTTGGGAGGTAATGTTGCGACTGTACAGGACATTGGTTAGGCCACTTTTGGAATACAGTCGATTCTGGTATAATGTGATAGTTCCATTCTCATGTGAACTCGCATTATAAGAAAATCGCGCAATAGCCACGCTATTTAAACTAATTGGGCTGGAATTGCATTGTAGCCAAAACAGGCAAGGAAAGTTTGTGTTCTACAAATAGTGCTCTCAATTCTTCAATCACATTATAGAGAATTTGCGTTCAAGAAACATGCGTTACAGCAGAACCAACTGTACTGGGTTCAATTCTTGTCTCCCTGTTATACGAAGGATGTTGTGAAACTTGAAAGGTTCAGAAAAGATTTACATGGATGTTGCCAGGGTTGGAGGGTTTGAGCTATAGGGAGAGGCTGAATAGGCTGGGGCTATTTTACTTGGAGTGTCGAAGGCTGAGGGGTGATCTTATAGTTTATAAAATCAAGAGGGGCATAGATAGGGTGAATAGCCAGGGTCTTTTCCCCAGGGCAGCAGAGTCCAAAACTAGAGGTTTAAGGTGAGAGGGGAAAGATTTAAAAGGGACCTAAGGGGCAACTTTTCACCCAGAGGGTGGTAAGTGTATGGAATGAGCTGCCAGAGAAAGTGGTGGAGGCTGATACAATTACAACATTTAAGCATCTGAATGAGTATGTGAATAGGAAGGGTTTAGAGGGATATGGGCCAAATGCTGGCAAATGGCACTAGATTAATTTGGGATACCTGGTTGGCATGTTCGAGTTGTACTGAAGGGTCTGTTTCCATGTTGTACAGCTCTATGACTCAATGACTCCATGAAGGGATTGTCATATGTGGAGTGGTTGAGGACAATGGGTCTGCACTTAATGGAGTTTGGAAGGATGACATGGATCTCATTGAAACTTACAGAATATTGACAGGCCTGGATAGAGTGGATGTGGAGAAAATAGGAGAGACTAGGACACAAGGACACAGACTCATGTTGAAGGGACAGCCCTTTACCACTTAGAAGAGGAGGAATTTCTTCAGGTGGAGAGTGGTTAGTCTGTGAAGTTCACTGCCACACAAGGCTGTGGAGGCCAAGTCAATGAGTATATTTAAGACAGAGATTAATAGATTCTTGATCAGTAAGGGGATCAAAGATTACGGGGAGAAGGCATGAGAATGGGGTTGAGAAACTTATTAGCCAGGATTGAATGGTGGATCAGACTTAATGGGCCAAATGGCCTAATTCTGCTTCTATATCTTGTGGTATTATGGCAAAATGAAGCTGTTTGGTCTCCCTGACCCTATGTATGCAGTACTTTAGCAACTACCCCTTAACCCATTGTGGGCCATCTTATCTTGTCCTAGATGTTTACTGTTCTCTATCTTTTGAGTTTCTAAACTGTTTATAGTCATTCTTTCCCCATTCTTCTCCATTTACAGTCTGGTAACAATATTGATGTCCCTGGCTCTGGACTAAAGAAACCACTTTTAAATATTCTAACAAGTCTGCTGTCTTGACAGTTCAGACTAGACCAAACAAAGCTAGATTGAAATCTGTTTGGGTCTCCTGTATGTTTACAGGAGTAATCATGTCTGCCTACTATG